GAAAAAAAAAAAAAAAAGTTTTTCTGGTGTACTGTTAGAGCTTTAGTGGGTTCTATTGTAGGGCTTGGGGGATTTTTTATTTCTTTTATTTGTTTTGGAGTGTGTTTTCATACTTCATAAAAGAAGTTTTTTGATTTAACGTCTGTCTTACAGGCAGTGTTTGTGGTGTTGATAATATTTTGGGTAACTTAATTCATTACTGAAGTGAGGGTCCTAGTTTTCTTTAGATATCACTGAACTTATACCCATATTTAAATATACCTGAGCTATTCTTCTGGGTCTGAAATCTGTTGAAATCATTCTAGGCAATTTCTTTTTGCAACTGGTGGTTGTTTTTTTTAATACCTATTGTGGTTACTTTTTTTTTAGGTGGCTATGGCTACAGGACAGGTGCTATTTCAACGTTTTTTTTATACCAAGTCTTTTGTGAAGCATTCCATGGAGGTAAGAAAATATTTAAAAGTTGTATATGGCTACAAATGTTATTTAATCTTAGATCTGTTTTCGCAAGTTGTCAACTTACATATGATCAGAGTGTTGAAACTGGCCTGTAGATTTTACTTATCAATCAACATGATTTTACAAAGCTACATAGTACTGATTTTTGTCAAATTTCTAGTATTTCCTTGTTTTACCACCATTTTCTCTTGTTATCCCTCCTTAAGCTGTTGGAGGCGATCAGTTCCTGATTTGAGCAAAACATCAGTATGTTGCAATACTTATATTTCAGCATGTGTCAATGGCCTGTGTTCATCTGGCATCCAAAATTGAAGAAGCACCACGGCGCATAAGGGATGTCATTAACGTGTTCCATCGCCTTAGACATCTACGAGAAAAAAAGTAAGCTTAGACTTTGAAATAATCTGAAGTATTTATGTTGGTTTTTAATTATTAAACTTCATGGCCCGATGATAGTATCATTCCCTGTTTCATAAATCAGGGAACATCTTGAAGAGATGTCATGAAGGAGAAAAGTGAGTGGATCCGTTTTATTAAGTAAATATTTTTGGTGTTAAAAATAGTGATGACTTTTACTTTTACACAAACACAGTTTAACCTGCCTATGAGTACTCTTTGAGGTTAAGATTATCTTCTCAGAATGTGAAATTCTCTTGCAGAAAACCTGTGCCCCTTATACTGGATCAAGAATATGTGAACTTGAAGAACCAAATTATTAAGGCAGAAAGGAGAGTGTTAAAGGAGTTGGGATTTTGTGTTCATGTAAAGCACCCTCATAAGGTTTGTACTCTATAAGTTAAATTTACCATCAATGTTTCATATGCTATAAATGCTTTGAGTAGACTGCCTGACTGCACAGAAGCTGTATAGTTTGTACGTGATAAGGCTAGTTAAATCACTAAAGCTGGTTTCTTATCATCCCAATGTTTTCTTTCTCATTTAAGAGATTCTTACTAGTTGGTCTTAAATCACTGCTGAATGGCGACTGGAGGTGGATGCAGATTCTAAGTATTCCTTGAAGTCGAATTACATACGTAGGTAGCTTTGGTGTTAGAAAATGTCAACTAAATGTAGATTCTTCAGCAGAAAGGAATTTGGAGACCCAGGGTTGTGATATCTTGTTATCAGAAACACAGTGTGTATGATCACTCCTTGTGGAAACATGCTGGGTTTATTAAACCCATATGAGCTAGTCAGTGTTTCTTAGGTTTTCTGAAAAGTACATTTGGATGTGAAGGGCTTGACTAGAATTGAGACAATTCTCAATGTTTGAATATCATGGATCAGACCAGGATGATATTTGTAGGATGTAACTACTGCAGATGTTTTAAGTTGGGTGCTTTAGTACCATTAGCATTATGCCTTAAGTAGCTACATGTTCTAAAAAGAACCTCCTGTTTCTGTGCCAGCAGAACTTGGGATCTTGCTCTTTCTTCCTCCAAAAATTAGCGTTTTAAGATCATTTAACGCCTACTTGATTTTCAGAATTCACTTATGTACCCCAGGGGACAATTGTACTTGATTGTTAATTGGTATTTGGTATGAATTTTTGCTGTTAGAGTAGTCTTATCTGCATCCTTGTTTTCCTTTCAAACATAAGAAAAAGAACTGTGAGACACATGTTCTGCGCAAGTACCGTTACACTTCTGTTACTGCCTATTGCAGCTAGCAATATTTTCTCCAGAGTTACAGCTAAAAAGGAGTCGTGAATTATATAGGAGCACATACCTAGCATGAAAACAGTTGAAGACAAGACACCTAGATGAATAGGCTGGTGAATGAGCTCAGAAGACGGAGAGCTAGGAAGGTCAGATCTGGTCGAGTGTCAACTCGTGCAAACTTTTGCATTGGAGAGCAGAAGCTGTGTGAATAAACACTGGGGGTGTTGCAAGCACTCTCTCATGTGGAGTGTTTTAGAGCTTGAAAGAGAATAACAGATGCCTCATGGATGTCCCTCTGAAATAAATAGGTGGCTCTGGAGATTCTTGTTAATAACTCAATAACCCATATCTTCCAGATAATCGTTATGTACCTTCAGGTATTAGAATGTGAACGTAACCAACACCTGGTCCAGACTTCATGGTAAGTTGATTTTTCTTTGTTCTAAGAGACCAGCAGGGGCAGTAGCAGAAATATGTCACTTGAGGCACTCTGGGCAGCATTGCTCAGAGGTGATTGTGGGCCACACCAGACAGCTCCAGTGTTTCTTGGCGTGCCCCAAACTACTACCCAAATGTTGATCGGCCTCTTAAGTCAGAGGCACTGT